CCCTTGTCTTGGAAAAGCACGTTACTTCTGCCTCATTCTCTTGAGTAAAGCAAATCAAGACCAGCTCATATACAAAGGGTGGGGAAATAAATTTTACATTTTGATAGGAGGAGTTTCAAAGTCACATTGCAAAGATCATAGAAATAGGGATGGAGATGTGGAGAATTGGGGCCATTTTGCAGTCATTCTATAACAGTGATTGTAAACAGAACTTTGGCAAATTTGAAATAGTATTCAGAAGAATCACCTGCTTAATTCAGATAGATTCTTTTCTGTTCATGTAAAACCAAAGAGGTGAATTAACTATTGCTTTATTTTGCCTTTATTGTAATAACATTCCTTACGGTAATTTAAAATAGGCACTCGTTTTTAAAGAGCAAGTGTCAATTTTTAAACAGAAACACATTTTAAATTTTTAAATTTTATTTAAATTATTTTTTATTAATATATAGTGTATTATTTGCTTCAGGGGTATAGGTCTGTGAATCATCAGTCTTACACAATCCATAGCACTCACCATAGCACATATCCCCACCAGTGACCATAACCCAGCCACCCTATCTCCCCCCAATCCCTCACCCATTAACCCTCAATTTGTTTGCTGAGATTAAGAGTCTCTTATAGTTTGTATCCCTCCCAGTCCCATCTTGTTTCATTTTTTCCCTCCTTGCCCTCCACGACCCCTCACCCTGCCTCTCAAATTCCTCATATCAGAGAAATCATATGATAATTGTCTTTCTCTGATTGACCTACTTCACTTAGCATAATACCCTCTAGTTCCATCAGTGTCATTGCAGATGGCAAGATTTCAGGGTTTATGATGGCTGCATAGTATTCCTGTGTGTGTGTGTGTGTGTGTGTGTGTGTGTGTACACACACCACATCTTCTTTATCCATTTATCCGTTGATGGACATCAAGGTTCTTTCCATAGTTTGGCTATTGTGGATATTGCTGATGTAAACATTCAGGTGCACGTGCCCCTTCAGATCACTACATTTGTATCTTTAGAGTAAATACCCAGTAGTGCAATTCCTGGATCATAGGGTAGCTCTGTTTTCAACTTTTTGAGGAACCTCCATGCTGTTTTCCAGAGTGGCTGCACCAGCTTGCATTCCCACCAACAGTGTAGGAGGGTTCCCCTTTCTCTGCATCCTTGCCAACATCTCACATTTTAAATTTAATTGTGTTGAAAGTCAAAGATACCACCTTACACCACTTAGAATTTAAGTAATTGAAGTGTGATTTGTAGCAGGAGTGTTTTCATTATTAGAATCGTCTCTGGTTGTACTTGGATTGATCATTTTTTACTATTACTGTCTCAGTTTTGCATCAGTCTTCATTTTTTAAGTTTACCTAAAAGAAATCATCGTAATCTCTTCATTGCATCAATTTGTATGACATATCTTTTTAGAATTTTTTTTTTCTTTTTTGGTGTAGAAAATATGTACAGGTATTGATGTGTGCATGTGATTGGCAGAACTAAGTATCTTTATTATAATACTTACTACAGAATATACCCTGTTATGCTGTTCATTTAATAAAGCTTAAAAACTTTTCAACTTTTTGTTGAAATATAACATATGCATAGAAAAGTGCATACATGTATAGTATAGAGCTATATGAGTTTTTAAAAAAATATTTTATTTATTTATTTGACAAAGAGAAAGACCAGGAAAGGGAGAAGCAGATTCCTTGTTGAGCAAGGAGCCTGATTCAGGACTTCAGGACCCTAGGGTCATGACCTGAGCTGTAGACAGGTGCTTAACTGACTGGGCCACCCAGGCACTCCATGCTATATGAGTTTTTAAAAACTGGATGTTCCTGGGTAATCAGCATCTGGGTTGAGAAATTGAACATTACCAGCATCCTCTAACCCCTTTATGTTCTCTGTCACTGCTTCATGTTCTCTGTCACTGCCTGTAAGAGTAACAAGTATCCTTATTCCTAATCCCATACATGTTTTGCCTGTTTTTGTTCTTTATGTAACCATTTAAATATAATACCTACTCTTCTGAGCTTGACTCTTTCAGAATAAGATGCTGTTAATATTTCTCCATGTCTGTATAGGTAAGGAGTAATAACTACATATAATTTGGTCAGAGATCCTTTTAAAATTTTAACTAAAATTTGAAATTGGATACTGAATGATAGACTCAATTATAAGTTACCAATAATAAATATACATACATATTTATTGGAGGGGTAATATTTTAATTCATTATCGAATATACAGAAGCAGTGGTTTTTTTCTTTTAAGAAATAAAGCATGATCTTTTTAGTTTCTTGAGGAAAAGCAAAAAGGGACGTTGGTGTCTGTAATTACTAAAATTAGAATTCAGATGAAATTTGCTGTGCATGCACACAAAACAGACAATCATATAAAAAAATGGGCAGAAGATATGAACAGACACTTCCCCAATGAAGACATACAAATGGCTATCAGACACATGAAAAAATGTTCATCATCACCTGCCATCAGGGAGATTCAAATTAAAACCACATTGAGATACCACCTTACACCACTTAGAATGGCCAAAATTAGCAAGACAGGAAACAACATGTGTTGGAGGGGATGTGGAGAAAGGGGAACCCTCTTACACTGTTGGTGGGAATGCAAGTTGGTACGGCCACTTTGGAGAACACTGTGGAGATTCCTCAAGAAATTAAAAATAGAGCTTCCCTATGACCCTGCAGTTGCACTACTGGGTATTTACCCCAAAGATACAGATGTAGTGAAAAGAAGGGCCATCTGTACCCTAATGTTTATAGCAGCAATGGCCACGGTCACCAAACTGTGGAAAGAACCAAGATGCCCTTCAACGGACGAATGGATAAGGAAGATGTGGTCCATATACACTATGGAATTATGCCTCCATCAGAAAGGATGAATACCCAACTTTTGTAGCAACATGGATGGGACTGGAAGAGATTATGCTGAGTGAAATAAGTCAAGCAGAGAGAATCAATTATCATATGGTTTCACTTATTTGTGGAGCATAACAAATAGCATGGAGGACAAGGGGAGTTAGAGAGGAGAAGGGAGTTGAGGGAAATTGGAAGGGGAGGTGAACCATGAGAGATTATGGACTCTGAAAAACAATCTGAGGGTTTTGAAGGGGTGGGGGGTGGAGGTTGGGGGAACCAGGTGGTGGGTATTGGAGAGGGCACGGATTGCATGGAGCACTGGGTGTGGTGCAAAAACAGTGAATACTGTTACGCTGAAAATAAATTAAAAAAATTAAAAAAAAAGAGGCTATACAAAGAGTAAAATTAAAAACTAAAGGGAGGAAATAAAAAAATAAAAAAAAATTTACTGTGCATGAAAAAGAGGTCATCTATTTTATTTTCATGCTTTTAAAACCCTGTATCACTATAGAAGATTATCAAGCCTTACTTTATAAAACTCTAGAAAGAGTGATTTAGCAGCTTCTTTGATAGTGTGTTTTGCTATGGGGATTTCCCTGAAGTTTTCAAGTTGATTGTACCAAGACAGAAAAAAGGAAAACTATGTGTGTGAGATAGAGTCAGTGATAATTTAATTCTTTAGCATCTAATCTGAGACAATTTTTTTTCATGTCACTTCAGGTCAGGTATTTCTTTGTTTTCTTTTGAACTTGAGAGCAATCAGTTACATTCCCTCTTTTCTGTACTAAAGTTTTCTCCCTAAAAAAAACAGAGCAATCATGTGTCAAATCTTAATACCTTCTGGTACTTCTTTCGAAATCTTTTCATTTTGACCAGTTAATCTTATTTTCATTGGCATCAAGCTTTCTGGTTCTGATTCTATTCTAGTTCCATTGTATTCTATTGTTAAATTGTTTTTTCTCTGATTTCTTCATTGGCTTCTTTTTATTTCCATTAATACTGAGCATCATCCAAAGTTCTCTTTTAGGTTTCTGGCTCCATTTCTTCTCAGTAACTCTTAATACATATTAGATATGTTTATTTGCATAAATCTTTATATAAAATGTATCTGAACTTGACATCTTTCTTTTTCTATTTCTCTCATGTATTTTTACCTACTTATTTAGATATGCCTCCATCTTTTAAATATGTCACACATCATTTCTATTTTTCTGGTCTTCCCAGTCCCCCCTACTTATTTTTTTGCCGCTGTGGACAACATCATGTTCTTCACAGAATATAAGAGTCTTTATCTGAGTATCATTATTGGCTCAGTGTTTAATTTCTTGATGTTAATGACATTAATACCAGAGGATTACTGTTATTTTCTATAGTAGTTCTGCTTTATTAATATATATGGTTTTATCTAAATGATTTCCTTACATAAATATATATTGATTATCATTATTGCTTAGATATAATCACGAGAATTCAAAATAAAGGAGAAATGGTTCATTCCTCTTTTATCTCCTAGTAAATATTGCCATTTTCTTCCCCAGGAGCTGCCACGTTACACATTTCCCTTCTGAAATGCCTCAAAAAAAAAAAAAATTAAAACAGTCTCCTCCTAAGATCCTTTCCTTCCTATTTTTGGTTTCAGTTTTTATATGTGAATGATACAACAACATTTGAAGTGTATTTAACCATATAAATTAAAATCTTTCATTATGGGGCACCTGGGTAGCTCAGTTCATTAAGATCTCCTTTCTGCTCAGGTCATGATCTTGGGATCCTGGGATCAAGCCCCTCATCAGGCTCCCTGCTCACTGGGGAGTCTTCTTCTTTCTCTGCCTATGCCCCTTCCCCTGCTCATGTCTCTCTCTCTCTCTCTCTCTCTCCCCCCACAACTATCTCTCTCAAATAAATAAATAAAATCTTTAAAAAACCAAAATCTTTCATTATATAAACTGTATTTTTTTTCTGATTGAACGTTTTACTTCGGCAAGGTTAATTTTTTCCCCATAGTTTTAATACTATAAAACTTTATTGGTATTGAAGCACAAAATTATTTGAACTTGATTTTTTTTCTCTGTATTTTCATTGAAGAAAGATTTTTCTCCTCGAGAATTAAGAGCTGTAATTTTTTTTGCCTCAGATTCTCCTGAGAATGATATTCCTATGGAGATCACAACAGCAGAACCACAAGTTTCTGAAGCAGTATATGATTGTGTTATTTGTGGTCAGAGCGGCCCCTCCTCTGAAGACCGACCTACAGGATTGGTTGTACTGTTACAAGCATCCTCAGGTAAAATCAAAGTAATTTTCAGTGGATTATTTTAGAGCCTAAGTGTATACAACATGTTAATAAATATCTGTATTAATTGAAAGTTATATCTTTGTCTTGATATAACTATAGATCTATATAGCAGGGATCAATTTAGATCTATTAGCAAGGATTTTAAATTTGGTTTTATCTGACTTTCCTGGGTATGAGTGTTGGAAGAAGCCCTTTACAGAGAAGTCTCTCTATATCTTATACAGTCTATTTCCTTAAACTGTGATGGCATATTACCTATCCTAGAAAGCCTGAACGGAGTTCAGCTTTCTTGACAATTTAATTGTTTTAAAGTTGGGGTGCGTTTTAAGCCCAGAAATATTGTCAGTTAAGTATTTTAACTACATAAGGCACATTCAGGTAGTTTTGCATTTATTTCTTGAGCTAGTAGAAGCAGTAATTCTTGAAACAGCTTGCTGAATATCTTTGCCAATATGTTATTAATAATTTTTTTAAAATTTATTTTAGAGCATGCACGTGGGTCGTCGGTGGGGAGGGGTAGAGGGAGAAGCAGAGACTCTCAAGCAGATTCTGCACTGAGCAGGGAGCCTGACATGGGGCTCCGTCTCATGAGTGAGATCATGACCTGAACTGAAATCAAGAGTCAGACACTTAACTGAGCTACCCACGTGTCCCTAAAATTTCTTTTGAAAAGTTTTTCAAAAATTTTTTTGAAAAATTTTTCAAAAATTTTTGAGAAAAATTTTTCAAAAATTTTTTGAGAAAAATTTTTGAAGGATTTGTCTGAATGCTCTCTATCCTTTCCCATGCTAAAGTATTTTAAGGTGTGATAACTCTTACACACTCTAGTCCTAATGTATCGAATCCATTTTCAACAGGAGTTTGTGTGAAGCAAAGAGAAAATAAAATTCTTTCACCTTGCTTCTGAGCATTTTTTCCTAGGGTGTTTATTCTCTAAATTAGTATAGTAAAGTGGAAAGAGATATGACACTCCCCTGAGTTCAAATGCAAGTATTGCTTGATGTAATCTGGCTAAGTTTGTTGCTTTCTTTTAACTGGAGACAATGTTGACTTCAGAGAATTGTTTGGTTAAGTAATGTAATATAGGCAAAAGGATCTAATGGGGTGCTGGTAAATTAGTTTATCCTCTTCTTACTTTTCTTGCTTAAAACCAAAATTCCTTTGGAAAATCCCAGTTGAATAGGACATTGGAGTAGAGCTGTCAAGACCAGAAAGGCCTACTAAAAAGTAAATGTCTGGGGTACCTGGGTGGCTCAGTGGGTTAAGTATCTTGATTTTGGCTCAGGTCATGATCTTAGGGTCATGAGATGAAGCCCTGTGCTCAGCGGGGAGTCTGCCTCCCTCATCTCCCTCTACCATCCCCCTGCCCCTGGGCGCATGCGTGCTCTCTGTCTCTCTCTCTAATAAATAAGTAAATCTTATTTATTTATTTAAAAAAAAAGATTTTTATTTATTTATTTATTTATTTGACAGACAGAGATCAGAGGTAGGCAGAGAGGCAGGCAGAGAGAGAGAGGGGAAATCAGGCTTCCCGCTGAGCAGAGAGCCCCATGCGGGGCTCGATCCCAGAACCCCGAGGCGCCCCTAAATAAGTAAGTCTTTAAAAAAATAAGGAAATGTGGGGCACCTGGGTGGTTCAGTGGGTTAAAACCTCTGCCTTCGGCTCAGGTCATGATCCCAGGGTCCTGGGATCGAGCCCCGCATCGGGCTCTCTGCTCAATGGGGAGCCTGCTTTCCCCTCTCTCTCTGCCTGCCTCTCTGCCTACCTGTGATCTCTGTCTGTCAAATAAATAAATAAAATCTTTAAAAAAAAAAAAGGAAATGTCTGAGAGTATTGGCTAGTTTTGTAGCTATTTCTGTTTTCTACTGCTGTGACAAAACTAGACTATTAAATTATTGCCACTTAACTTCTTATAACTTTTTCACCAAATACTTCATAATCATAAATGTTTTCTTTATTCCTTTATTCATTCATCCCACAAATATTTATTGGGAACCTAGGTGCCAGATACTGTCATAGTATAAAACAAAGCAAAACAGAATCTCTGCCCTAATGAAGGCAGAGATTTTGTTTTTGTTGTTTTAATCTTTATTTGTTTATTATTTTATATTTTTAAAGTTGCTTTGACCAAATTGTCACTTCATTTAATTCTTTTTTACAATTTTGTACACTAACTAAACTTATTAATACTGGATAATTCCACTATATTGTTGCTCTTTTTTATAGATAGAAGGAAATGAATAAGAAACTAACATGAAAAAGCATTAAATCTCTAAAGAGTGACTTTAATTGGGAACTGTAGCAGGTGAAGTCTCTGGCTGTTTCCTAACTTTCTGAGCCTCACACACCTACTGACATCTTGCATTTTACCACTCTCTACTTTTTTCCTTACTTCTGACCTCTATTTTAATCTGTCCCTTCTCTTTTTCTTTTATCTTTTTAAGTTTTAATATGGAATGTTTTGTTTTATTTTTTGTTTTGAGTTTTTATTTAAATTCTAGTTAGTTAACATATAGTGCAATATTAGTTTCAAGAATAGAATTTAATGATTCATCACTTACATATAGAATCCAGCGCTCATCAAAACAAGTGCCCATCATGCATTTAGCCCTCTTCCCCCATCTCCCCTCCACCAACTCTATTTGTTCTCTATAGTTGAGAGTGTCTTAGGATTTGCCTCTCTTTTTCCCCCCTCCTCCTATGTTCATCTGTTTTGTCTCTTAAATTCCACATATAAGGGGCGCCTGAGTGGCTCAGTGGGTTAAGGCCTCTGCCTTCAGCTCAGGTCATGATCCCAGAGTCCTGGGATCGAGCCCTGCATTGGGCTCTCTGCTCAGCAGGGAGCCTGCTTCCCCCATCCCCTCTCTCTGCCTACTTGTGATCTCTGTCTGTCAAATAAATAAATAAAATCTTTAAAAAAATTCCACATATAAGTGAAATCAAGTATTTGTCTTTCTCTGACTAACTTGTTTCCCTTAACATAATAAACACTTAACTCCATCCACCTTGTTGCAAATGGCAAGATTTCATTCTTTTTGAAGGCTGAGTAATATTCTTTTGTGTGATATATCACACACACGCGCGCACGTGCGCGCACACACACACACACACACACACACACACCACATGTTCTTTATCCATTCATCAGACATTTGGGCTCTTTCCATAATTTGGCTATTATTGATAATGCTGCTATAAACATGTGTCCCTTTAAATTAGTATTTTTGTATGCTTTGAGTAAATACCTGGTAGTGCAATTCCTGAGTCATAGGGTAGTTCTATTTTTGACTTTTTGAGGACCCACCGTACTGTTTTCCAGAGTGGCTGCACCAGCTTGCATTCCCACCAACGGTGTAAGAAGGTTCCCCTTTCTCCGCATCCTCACCAACACCTGTTGTTTCCTGTGCTGTTTGTTTTTGCCGTTCTCACAGTACGAGGTGATATCTCTGTATCTGTAGTTCTGATTTGCATTTCCCTGATGATGACTGATGTTCGGCATCCTATCATGTGTCTGTTGGCCATCTGTATATACACCTTCTTTGGGAAAATGTCTCTTCATGTCTTCTTCCTATTTCTTAACTGGATTATTTGTTTTTTGGGTGTTGAGTTTGATAAGTGCTTTACAGATTTTAGATACTAACCCTTTATCAGATGTGATTTGTACATAACTTTCCCTATTCCATCAGTTTCCTTTTAGTTTTGTGGCGTGTTTCCTTTACTGTGCAGGAGCTTTTTATTTTGACATAGTCCCAATAACTCATTTTTACTTTTGTTTCCCTTGCCATAGGTTATGTGTCTAGTAAGAAGTTGCTACAGCTGATGTTGAAGAGGTTACTGCCTGGGTTTTCCTCTAGGATTTTTATGGTTTCAGGTCTCATATTTAGGTCTTTAATACATTTTGAATTTATTTTTATGGATGGTGTAAGAAAGTGGTCCAGTTTCATTTTTTTGCATGTTGCTGTCCAGTTCTCCCAACACCATTTGTTGAAGAGACTCTCTTTTTTTACATTGGATGTTCTTTCCTGCTTTGTCAAAGATTAGTTGACCATATAGTTCTGGGTCTATTTCTGGGCTTTCTATTTTGTTCTGTTTATCTATGTGTCTGTTTTTGTGCCAGCATCATACTATTTTGATGGCTATAGCTTTGTAATAGAGCTTGACATCCAGAATTGTGGTGCCTCCAACTTTGCTTTTCTTTTTCAAGATTGCTTTGGCTGTTTGGGGTCTTTTGTGGTTCCATACATGGTTTAGGATTATTTGTTATAGCTCTGTGAAAAATGTTGTTGGTATTTTGATCAGGATTGTATTAAATATGTAGACTGCTTTGGATAGTATAGACATTTTAATAATATTTATTCTTCCAATCCGTGAGCATGGAATGTTTTTTTCATTTCTTTGTGTCCTCTTCAATTTCTTTTATAAGTGTTCTATTATTTTCAGAGTACAGATCTTATACCTCTTTAGTTAGGTTTATTCCTGGTTATGGTATGGTTTTTGGAGCAGTAATAATGGGATCGCTTCCTTGATTTCTCTTTCTGCTGCTTCATTATTTGTGTACACAAATGAAACAGATTTCGTTACATTGATTTTTTTATCCTGTGACTTTGCTAAATTCTTGTATCAGTTTTAGCAATTTTTTGGTGGAGTCTTTTGGGTTTTCTACCTAGAGTATCATGTCTTTTGCCAATAGTGAAAGTCTGATTTCTTCCCTGCATATTTGGATGCCTCTTATTTCTGTTTCTTGTCTTATTGCTTAGGCTAGGACTTCCAGTACTATGTTAAATAACAGTGGGGAAAGTGGATGTCACTGTTTTGTTCCTGACTGTAGAGGAAAAGCTCTCAGTTTTTCCCCATTGAGGATGGTATTAGCTGTGACTTTTTTGTGTATGGCCATTATGAAGTTGAGGTATGTTCCCTCTATCCCTATTTAGTTCAAGTTTTTATCAAGAATGGTTGCTGTATTTTGTCAGGTGCTTTTTCTGCATCT